CTAACTCCACCAAAATCCGAGAAGGGTCCATTCTGCCTGTTGCCTCTAAGTGTCGAAATAAGATGGCGTTTTGAGATTGAGAAGAAAATTTTCTGCCTTCTCCAGCTATTTGTACCATTTAGGTCGAAAAAGAGCTTGCCGATCGAGCTAAATCTGGTGACCTACAGTCAGTTGCAGCTCCAGAAAAGAAGAGAGGACGTTGGGATGAGACTCCATCGCACGAGGTTTTTGTCCACTTTTTTCACGTTGAGCTTGCTAAAAAATCGTCTTCAGGTGCTTGGTGCTGGATCAGCAACTCCTGGTGGTGCCACTCCAGGTGGGGCACCACGTAAGCGTCTAGGGATTTCCAGTATCAGCGCAGATGTAAGTTGTGCTTGCTGATGTTTTGGTCGATCATGCATATAAACTTTACCTTTCAGGCGGCAACACCGCATGTGGCGAGATGGGAAGAAACTCCAGCTCATGCAAATGCCACCGATGCTACACCATCTGTTAATAGGTCACTTTATTCACTTGGTTGCCAACATTGCCCACATATAATGCCCATCTTACTGCTTCAGGTTTGATTCAACGCCATCAACGCAAACTCCACGAAGAAATCGATGGGATGAAACACCGCGCGAGAGCGTACGTGATACGGGATCGATGACTCCTGGATGGGGAATGGAAACTCCCGCTCGTGCCACAGATGATGTCAAGGTTAGTAAAGAACTTTTTGCCTCATGGTCTTGCCCTTTGGCTGAGCTCGAAGTTCATTTTATAGGTCGAAGACACTCCCTCAGCTTCAAAGCGCCGTTCAAGATGGGATTTAACGCCTTCGCAGACCCCGGCAGCGGGGTCGGCTACACCGCAGCCCGGTTCAGTAACGCCCTCGTTCACACCAAGCCATGGAAGCACACCGGTACGCAAATTTGCAGCCATTAACCAGACCTGCTTTATATTATTGATGAATTCTAGGCTGGTGGGCTGACGCCAGGAGGAGCCACACCATTGGGAACACCTGCAATGGGAATGAAAACTCCCATGGCACCAGTAGCCATGACCCCAGAGCAGATGAAGAACTTCTTATGGGAGAAAGAATTGGATGATAGAAATCGTGCCCTCAGTGATGAAGAGCTGGACGCACTGTTTCCTCCGGGTTACAAGGTTGGTTTGCACGCTCAAATGAAGGTAGAGAGGAGTAATGTTTTTTTGTAGATCTTGCCACCTCCAGCTGGCTATATGCCTCTGAGAACTCCTACGCGTAAACTTATGGCTACCCCCACACCGCTAGGAGGCATTGCTGCTGGTGGATTTTTTATGCAGGGAACCCCAGAGAGAGATGGGCTTGGAGATAAAGGTAAGCAGAAAATGTTTTTTTAGGTTATTCGACTTCTCAAGTTCTAAACTGAATGAAAATCTTTAGGCGTAGGTGGTATCCTCGATACACAGCCGAAAAATCAGGATCTTCCTCCGCTAAAACCGGATGATATGCAATATTTCGACAAGCTGCTCATGGATGTTGACGAGAGTAGGAGATTTTTCATCTAGTCATGCCTGCATAATTGTTATGAGCATATTTCCAGGTACTCTATCGAAAGAGGAGCTGAATGAACGTGAAATCATGACGCATCTGCTGAAAATCAAGAACGGTCTGCCACCGCAGAGAAAAAGTGGATTGAGAAAGGTGATAGGGTCATCCAAACATTATCTGCTTTGAGTGTAGCCATCTGAAGAGCAATAAACTTACCTTTTGTTCTGCAGATAACAGAAAATGCTCGGAAATACGGTGCAGGACCACTTTTCAACCAAATTCTTCCGCTGTTGATGTCACCTTCACTAGAAGATCAGGAACGCCATCTCATGGTTAAGGTGAGGGAACACGTATTTGCATTTTCATATGATAAAAATAAACTCAACTATAAGGTAAATCAAAGAATCCGGTAACAGAAAGTAAGTAATTGCCGGGCTCGGTTCCACTTTTCATAACTAGACATAGTCATAGTCTTGAAGCGCTTTAATAGGTTTGTCAAGAACTGCCCGATCTGTAAAGATTTTTGTAAGTGCCGAGCCCTGTAGTAATCTATGAAAAGCTGATTTATTTGAGCACTAACCTAATACCCTTTCAATTCCCTCTTTGCACGTGCGCTTTTAGAGTGACGCGCAAGGCAAGGGGAATCGTGGCCGCAGATTCTCAAATGGTAAGTTTCGGTAAGTATCTGCCAATGAGAATGCGATTGTGGAAGCTAAGCTGTCTACACCCGCAATTAAATTT